CTGCTCAGCCCGGGCACCCTTCGAGCCCCGCCGCACTGGGGTGTGGGTGCTGGGGTGCCAGGGGGGCCCTCGGGGTGCTGCACTGGGAGTGCTTGGATTTAAGTAAAACTCTCCCTGTGATCCTGCTCTGGCTCGCTGCATCCCCCGCTCTGCCAGCTTAATCCACGGGCTGCTTCCAGCCAAACTTGACAGAGGAGTCCAGAGCGCCCCAATCTCCTTCTTGCCTAAAAGTCATGAACTTGCTCTAAAAAAATTAAAATAAAATGAATTCCATAGTGCATATCTTCCCCTTCCCAAAGAGGGGAAAGGCCTGGGGCAGCCCAGCTCCTGGGGAGCTGCGGAGCACGTCCTTGTGCCGAGGGAAAGCTGCCGTCTGCCCTTGTGCTGCCCGGGTTGGGGGTCCCTCGGCCCTGGGGCACAGGCTGGCTGCGTCCCTGGCTCTGTCCTGGGGCAGAGCGGGCGGCCCCAGGGGCTCCCTCCCTGTTGAAAGAGGGAAACTGAGGCACGCAGTGACCCCCGCTTACCCTGGGAGGCAGCAGGCGCCCAGGATGACACCTGGCTCTGCCCCATGGTGGGATTGGTGTCCTCAGGTTGGGCTTGGCAGCAGGGCTAGGAGGTTTGGGGTCCCGGCAGAGCTTTGTTGTGGGGCTCAGGTCTGGCTCGGCATCTGATTCACTCCAGCCTGAAGTCCGGCTGTGCCGTTCCCTAGGTGTGAGGGGCTCCCCGGGGCCTGGCGGGCTCCTCGGCCTCCCGCAGGGAGCGAGCAACCTTTTGAAGCTTTTTTTTCTTCTTAAGCTGATTATTCTGTTCCTCTTCCAAATTGGAAACAGAAACTGAAATTTCCCATGAAACAAATTCTGCCACCGCCTTCTCCCTGCAGGGAAAAAAAAAGAAAATGAAATTTCAATTAAAACCATTAGAAGCCTCTGAAATGAAAACTGGGGTGAACTGAAGCTGCTTGCGCTTAGCTCGTCGGCTTGGGCTGTGCGTGGCTGGTGGCTCTGGCTGCGGGGCGATGTTTGGGAGGGCCATAGGGGAAGGCGTCGTGCTGTGGGTGCAGGGGTGGCCGTGTCCCCAGCTCTCCCTCTCACTTCAAGCTGTTCTTTTCCTTCCACTTTGACTTCCAGCAGTGGCTCGTGTAAGAGGGGAAAGAGCATTTTGCTGCTGCATTCGCTAGGAGCATTGCAGCACAGCCTGGTGCCCTCCGAGCTTTCCGCTGTCTCTCCCAAGGGACCCCCATCCTGCTGCAGCGGTGCTTGGGGTTGGCTCCTATGGGACCCCCACCCTGGGGGTAAAGGGCACTGGGGATGGATGGAGCGTGGCAGGGTGCTGCTCCCTGGGGAATTGAAGCCAGGGAAGGGGAAAGTGCCCTGAGCCGGTGTAACCCGAGGCACAGGAGGAATTTGTCGGGGCTGGGGGAGAGGGGGAAGCCTCGCCTGAAACAATAAAAGAAGCCTGATGACTTTGCCAATGTTATTCTGAGCTGGGAAAATATTATTGCAGGGCAAGAATAGAAGGAGACGACAGTGTTTTCCTGGGCTGGGCCCGGCGATATGGGAGGACCTGAGATGTTGGGAGGGCACGGGGAGGAAGGTACCCCCCAGGGAGACGGGGCTGGAGGGGCCCCCAGTGCCTGGTGCCAGCTCTGCTTGCAGGTACAGGGGTCTTCCTGGTGAAGATAGGCTGGGGCTGTATCCCTCCATGCCACCAGCATCACCAGTTAGGGCACTGGGATTACCCTTGAGCGACTTGGCGGGGATGGGAGCTGTGTGTGATGGGGTGGAGGTGGCCGTGTTCCCCCGGGGATGGCCCTGTCTCCCTTGCAGGTCCTAGAAGAGGCATTTCCCACCAGGACGGGGGCATTGTGTCACTGGCCACCTCCTCGATGGAGGTGACAAATGTCCCCCCAGCAAGAGCAGGGCTTGGTACCCCAGTGTCCTGGGCTGCTGGCAGCTGGGCTTGTCCCAGCGCCACCTCCTCTCCCATGGGGACATGCATGAGGGATGCTCAGGCTGGGGGTTTCTCTGGGGTCAGCAGCAGCGGCTGGCAGCCTTCCCTGGCGAAGGGTGTCTGGGGACACGGCTGCGCTTATCAATGGCACTTTGTCTTCCTCCTCCTCTGCCCGGGGGTTGCAGTGGCCTGGCCCAGGGTCAGGGCGGTCGCTAGGATGGGGTTTCAGAGCCCGGTGAAGCTGAGCCGCTCCCTCTTGCCCTCTCCCACTACGGCAGCTGGGTGGGTGCCACCATGCCAGGGTTTTCGGCTTGCTGACCCTGAAAGTAATTTCCCACCAGGAGCCAGTTGTGCCACTGCC